AAATCACCCCCCAGGGGGGATGGTCACGCCGCAATCCCTTCTCCTCCATTCTCCTCTCGGGATCTTGGGCACGCAGGCACACGTGCCTGGCGTGAGTTTTAAGCCACCGGGTCCGGGACGCGAACCACGGTTGACTACGTGGGAATCCAGTGACATAGCCATTACGCTAACTGCTGGTTCCCCCTGTAGATTTTTAAAGAGGTTTGTGGTTTTCACATTGTTTTTAAAAATCTTATATTGAATATATTAAGGATATTATTCTTTTATGCTTTGGATCAAAAATAACTTTCCTAGTCTGTTGGATCTTTGACACAGGTATTTCGTGCTGTTGAGAAATTTTAAAATGTGATGTAATCAAATTTGTCTATCCTTCGTGGTAGGGTTTATGTGATTTTCAGAATCACTTTCTTTTCCACCAATGTTAGAATAAAATACCTTGGTTTATTCTTTGGTCTTATCTTCTTGCACTTAAATCTTTATCTGAAATGTGTTTTGATATAAAGAGTGAAATAAAGATCTGTCATTTGTGCCCGTTGTGATTCCTAAGCTGCCGGGTCCAGGACTCAAACCGTGGTCAGCCATGTGGGAGTACAGTGCCTTAATCACCATGCCATCTGCTGGTCCCAGGATCTGTCTTCTGTCTTTTTCAAAATCCAGTTTTGGAACATGAGAAATCAATGGGAGATGATAGAAATGAAAACGTTCTGTGTCTTTTTTTTTTTTTTTGGAGAGGTTTTTTTCCCTATAGGGCCCGAGCGCCGCCAGACAGACAGACAGAGAGACAGAGAGACAGAAAGTGAGAAATCACCCCCCAGGGGGGGATGGTCATGCCGCAATCCCTTCTCCTCCATTCTCCTCTCGGGATCTTGGGCATGCACGCACACGCACCCGGCATGAATTTTAAGCCACCGGGTCCGGGACGTGAACTGTGCTCGACTACGTGGGAGTCCAGCGACATAGCTATTACGCTAACTGCTGGTTCCCAATGTTCTGTATCTTCATGGTGATGAAACCATCTTAGTGGTTTCAAAGGTATTTGTGTGCCATCTTTCAGTCTGTCTCATGCTATAAATATATATATATACACATATATACACACACACGCGTGTGCTCTCCCATATATATATCTATAACAGATATACATTATATATTTATATATAATATATATTTGTATGTGTAATATATATTTATATATACACTTATCTGTCTATATACAGCTATATATATGCATAGATAGATATAGGAAAAATAGATTTATATGTAGATTTATGTGTTTATCTATAGATATATATATATAGATCTCTACATATCTATTTTTCTCTCACTTATTTTTATATGACATTGTTTTTTCTTTCTTTTTTTTAAGAGAAATTTTTGCTACAGAGCGTGTGGACTCACTAGAGAGACAGACAGAAAGTGAGAAATCACCCCCTGGGGGCATGGCCATACTGCAATCTCCTTCATTCTCCTCTTGGGATTTTGGGCACGCATGCACACGTGCCTGGCGTGAGTTTGAAGCTGGCGGGTCTGGGACTCAAACTGCAGTCAGCAATGTGGGAGTCCAGTGACGTAACCATTTTGCCATCTACTGGTTCCCCCCCTCCTTCTTTCTTTTCTTTCTTTTTTAATATCTTTCCTTTCGTTGATCAACATTTAGTAAACTCATGTTATGCCAGATCCTCGTTCCCCATTTCCTATCAAAATGTATCTAATCTAGGTCGCATTCCCTCAGTAATAGTATTACCTCTAACTAGGTGATAGCATGATCTGATAAACTCTCACTAAAATATTAATCCTGGGCAAGAGTTTTAACTTATTACCTTACTGTAAACATGCTCATTTTTATAGAGAACCTTTGGAATTAGTGTTTCAAAAACCCCTGTAAAATTGGTAGTAGGGAGATCTTTTGCTAGTATTTGAATTAAACAGTATAAATTATTTTCCTTAAGTGTAAAATCAACTTCACAGATGACAAAAATACAAGGGAACTTGAAAAAGTTTGTGGAAAAATGTATTTTTTTTAAAAAATCCATGCATGGATTTGTTTCATGCTTCACATTTTTTATGAACTTTTTGAAGCTCTCTCCCTCAAATATTGAGTCATCAGAAAAAATGATGATGCATAGAAAAATACATCAAGACTTTTCTGACGGCCCAATATGTGAACTTGTTGACCTAATTTTGTGGAGGCATTTGTGAATTGTTTCATTTCATTTGTAGGCTGGTGGAATGAAGGCAGGAACATTTGACCCTTACCCTTCACATTCTGCTGACCCTTATGTGGTGAAATCGATAAAGGAGAGTTTCGGAAAAGGTGATAAGATTTTCCACCCGCCAAGTGGACCCAAAAGCCGACCAGTTGAAAGTATAATGACTTTGAATGTCAAAAGGTAGGTATACCTTACATTTAACCAGGAGAAACAAGAAAAACAAAAAACCAAAAAAAACCTTTTGCAACTTTCAGACTTCTTCAGAATAGTACCTTTTATTTATATATACTTTCAAAAAAGAACTTTGAGCGACTTTTGAAACCTCAGCTCCTTCCACATACCTGCCCTCCCTTATTGAAATCTTTTTCTATCTTCTAAAATTCCTATTTGAGAAAGCTTCATTTATTCATTCCAAACTATTATATATATGTATTATTCAAGAGGGTGCAAGAGGGAGAAAGAAAACACATCTCCCACCCCCACTGAGGCCTGGCCACACTATAATCCCTCATCCTCAATCTTCCATCCTGTCAGGATGTTGGACATAACCAAAAGCCCTGAGCCCATGGGACCAGGACTTGAACCCTGGCTGGCCAGTAATGGATCCCACGTGAGATCCAGTGCTGTCATATTATGTGCTGTGCTGTCATGCTATGGGGCCAGCCCTATTCTGTCTCTCTATGTGTGTGTTTATGCAATATCATATGAATCCAATGCGTTACCTAGCTACCTAGTCATTGAAAGTTTTAATGCCATTTGAACTAATCTACGTATTTCTAATTTTAATGTAATCACACATATTATAGATTTTAAAAACACCAAATTCACATTGTTCTCTTTTATAAAAGCAGTAGTGCACTTTTATAACTTAGGGATAATGATTATAATATCATTATTATTATTGTATCATAGTAATAAGACATTGCAAAGGTATGTTTCTGACTTATCACCCCTTAAGTTTATTAGAACAATGTATTTACCAATAGAACTTTAGCAGTTGCTAAAGACAATTCATTAACAATTTTTTGAAATAAATTTGAAAATACTAGTGTTACGTGCTACTTTAGTCTAACCAGAAATGTGATTTTGAATTACATGTATTATTCTGGGAAAGAATGCTTCATAGTAAGCTGACACTATCTTAGAACTTTGACATTTTGGAGCAGTCTAACTTAGATGATGTAAAATTCTTATTATTCTTATTACTCCTGAAATTATTGAGAAGACTTACTGGTTCCTTGATGCCTAAAATGCCTTTTTTTTTTTTTGCTTTATGTTTTCATTGTACACTCATCTCAGGCTTCAACATGTATCTTTTTTTTCTTTTTTCTGGAGAGGTTTTTGCTATAGGACGCATGAGCTCACCAGTAAAACAGAGAGAGATAGAGAGACAGAAAGTAAGAAATCACCTCCCAGAGGGCATGGCCATGCCGCAATCCCTTCTCCTCCATTCTCCTCTTGGGATCTCGGGCACGCATATACATGAGCCCAGCGTGAGTTTAAGCCACCAGGTCTGGGACTCAAACCACAGTTGACTACATGGGAGTCCAGCAACATAGCCATTACGCCAACTGCTGGTCCCAACACATATCAATTTTATTTATTTATTAAGAGAGATTTTTGCTCTAGGGCACGTGTGCTTGCTAGAGAGACTATCTCGGTCTCTCTAGAAAAGCGAGAAATCCTCTCCCCCCGGGGGGATGGCCACACCGCAATCCTTTCTTCTCCAATCTCCTCTTGAGATTTTGGGCACCCACGTACACTTGCCTAGCTGCTGGGTCTGGGACCTGAACCATGGTCAACCATGTGGGAGTCCAGTGCAGTAACCAGTACATCATCTACCGGTCCCTCAACTTTATTTTTAAGTTTATTTCTTCTGTGAGTGAGAGAGGGGAGCAGCATCCCAACAAGGTCTTGACGCTGTGGCCCAACTCAGTCTCATCCAGCCCTGGACTGTGAGCACCGTGTCTGAAGTACCTCGTGAGGTCTCTGACACAATTCTGGAACCCTCCCACGTGGGTCAGCCTCACAGAGTGCTACAGTTCACCACTTCTGTCACTGTCTAGCACAAATATGGATTAACTTCCTGTCTGAATTGTTTTAATCCCTTCAGCCAGTTGTTTAAATTGATTTAAAAAAAAAAAGTCTGTGAGCAACTTAACCTTTCGGGGACATAGACTTAAGTTTTCTGTTGAGTGTTTTCAAGATTAGAAAAATGCTTTTAAATAAGAATAAAAAATTTTATAGTGTCACTTCAGACATGAATATCTACAAAATGAATGTATGCAAGTCCATGGCACTTTTTGTAATGTTTGATTACTATATTTTGTGACTTTAAAATGTGTTTTTCTTTAAAAAAAAAAAAGGAAATTTTGCTCTTCTGGTTTTATGGGGCCAGTAACTTGAAATATTAACTAATTCCAGATATTTGACATATAGAACTAAAGGACCTAGCTTTTAAATTTTTTAAATTAAAATTTTTTTAGGTTTCACCACAGGGCATGTATGCTTGCCAGAGAGAGACAGAGAGGGAAAGTGAGAAATCACCTCCCGGGGATATGGCCATTTCACAGTCCCCTTTCATCCATTCCCCTCTTCGGATTTTGAGCACACACATACGGGCATAGGTGCCCACTGTGATTTTCAAGAGGACAGGTCTGGGACTGGAACCACAGTCAGCCATGGGGGTGCCCAGTTCCCTAACCACTGTACCATCTGTGGGACCTGATTTTTCTTTTTCTTTTTCTTTTTTTGAGAAGTTTTTGCTATAGGGTGTGTGCACTCACTAGAATGACAGAGACAGACAGAGAGACAGAAAGTGAGAAATCACCCCCAGGGTGGCCATGCCACCATCCCTTCTCCTCCATTCTTCTCTCGGGATCTTGAGCATGCACACGCATACGCCTGGTTTGAGTTTAAGCCACTGGGTCCTCACTCAAACCATGGCCGACTACATGGGAGTCCAGTGACATAGCCATTATGCCAACTGCTGGTCCCCACTGTAACCTGATTTCCTTTACATAGCCAAGTGACGCCTATAGGTAGCAGGATAAATATATATACTTTACAATGTTGTCATGGGTCTTGTGGGCCAGCTAGGAGACTACTGGACTTGGAAACAGGACAAGCAGAAAGATTTGGAGCTTTTTGTTGATTTCCTTCATCCTTTATCCTCTGGTAAGCCACCTAAGAGTACTCAGAGTACCTCTATCGGATAGAACCAACAGTACAATCAGAAGCTGTCTCACCACACCCACCCTCAAATACATGGAATTTTGTACTGGGGAAGGGAGGAATAACAGTTTTTGTTGTGTTCTTTTGTATCCAGAAAGCAAATCTAAGAAAGTTCTGTGATGTCCTAATATATGAATATGTTTGGAGTAGGGCAAGGGAGTGATTGATAGCTATTTTGAAAAATCAGAAGTTGAACTTTTATTAATTTTGGATTTATTGAAATCTCTATTCACATGATCACAAGTGCCATCTTAAACCCAGTTTTAGCTTTTGTTAATCCTAATTTAAAAAGTAATAAGACTGTGGACAGTAGCATTTAAAATGGATTCTATAATTGTATTTCTCTTTCAGTTACCTTTTCTTAGTATATTCTAATTTAATTGAAGTTTTTTTTAATTTTTTTTGGAGAGGACTTTGCTATAGGGCGCGTGCGTTCGCCAGAAAGACAGAAAGCAAGAAATCACCCCCTGGGGGTGGGGTGGGGATGGCCACACCGCAATCCCTTCTCCTCCTTTCTCCTCTCGGGATCCTGGGCACGCACGCGCACGCGCCTGTTGTGTTTAAGCCACTGGGTTCGGGACTCAAACCGTGGTCGACTACATGGGAGTCCAGTGACCTAGCCATTATGCTAACTGCTGGTCCCAAAGTGAAGTTTTGAAGTTGGTGAGACATTTTTGCTTTTGAATTGCTATAGGTTATAAAATATCTTGGTTTTTAATTTTTTTAATACGAAAAGTCTGCATTGAAATGTAAAAGAATGTATATATAGATTACTTGTACCTATAAAATGAAATTTGTGTTTTTTGATTTTAGGGCACTAAATGTGAAGAACTACAAGACTGCTTCAGTACAGTCCTATTAGCAACTGGAAGACATGTAGCATATTGAACCCCGACTACCAGTAATTCAATATCAAGCGCTAATTAACTGAAAAAATATACTACAGAACAGACAGAGCAAGCATTTATAAAAAATTTAAACTTATCACTCGTATATTATTTTAGTACTGCTACTTAATAAATAGTATTTGCTAAGAATTTAATGTGGTTGCTGATCTTTTGTTTTTAGACCTGTATTTCTCAGCACACTATAATGTTAAGAAATTTTATAAAATCTTGAAATGCAGCCAGTCATTGGAAATGCTTACTCCTAATGTTAAAGAAAATTTTAAAACTGCAGGTGGGGGGGGGGTGGAGACTGGAGGGGTAAAAGTACACAGAAATTTTGTTTTTATTTGCCAGAAGGCATGTGTGCTCATGAGAGAGAGAGAGAAATCTCTCCCCCAATCATGGTATCATGCCATAATCCCTTTCCACTGCTCCATCTGTCTTATTTGGGGCACATGCACATTCATCCAGTGTTTTTGTAAGCTGCCAGGGCCAGGATTTGAATTGTGGTTGGCCATGTGGGATGTGGCATTTTTAATGAGTAGACCCTGGGACAAGCCCATACTATAAATTCTTAACTGGCTATCTCTTCTTAGAGGTATCTGATGCTATCCAAATGTCAGTGGATTGAAGCATTCTTTTTTTTTTTTTTTTTTTGAGAGGTTTTTGCTATAGGGCACGTGCGCTCATCAGAAAGAAAGAGAGACAGCCAGAAAGTGAGAAATCACCCCCCAGGAAGGATGGCCAAGCCGCAATCCCTTCTCCATTCTCCTCTTGGGAGCCTGGGCACACACGCACACACACCTGGCATCATTTTAAGCTACTGAGTTGTGGTTGATTACTTAGGAGTCCAGCGACATAGCCATTACGCCAACTGCTGGTCCCACATTGAAGCATTACCTAACATCAGAGGTAAATGTCAGACCCATTTATATTGTATAGATTCATGTATAGACACATAAGGTAGTGAGACAGATATTTTAACTTACTTGGGTCATGTCTTTTATTTGTGGTTTATATAAAATATCAGATTATTTGTCCCTCTGCCAGTTTAGGCTTCTTAGAGCTGAAAACCAGATTGTAGAGAGTCTGCAGGACTCTTCTTTGGCTTCCCCGCCCCCCTTTATTTTCCTGAAGAGGTTTTTACTATGGGGCATGTGTGCTCGCCAGAAAGACAGAGAGAGACAGAGACAGAAAGCAAGAAATCACCCCCCAGGGGGGATGGCCATACTGTAATCCCTTCTTCATTCTCCTCTTGAGATCTTGGGTGGGCATGCACATGTGCCCAGTGTGAGTTTAAGCCACCAGGTCTGGGACTTTAATTGTGGTCAACTACATGGGAGTCCAGTGACATAGCCATTATGTCAACTGCCGCCCCCTGAGCCCTTTTTTCCCCCACAATTGGGATAATTATGTCAAACTAGATATATACCCAGTTTTTGGAGAGTATAGATTTTTTTTACTATTGTTACGGTCTTTTAAAAATGTTATGCTTCATAACTAGATTGTGTGCAATGAACAACATAAAACAACCAAGAGGAGAATGCAACTCAAGGTTAATACATTTGTCTTTGGAATAGGAATGACTTTACCAGATGCACAGAGCTGAATAAAATTTTGTTACTTATTGACTTATGTTGCTAAACAAGCTTTACAAGTATATGGATTCTGTTGTGGTCAGAGTGTTATATTTTCTGATTTTACTAAAAACTATATAACTTATTTTATCTCTTTTGTTAGCTGCAATGAATTTTTATTAATGTGCCTTTTTTTAAAGAATCATTTTATTTAACTTTACTTTTTTTCCAGTTTAATTAGAGAGAGACAGAGACAGAGAAAAAGAAAAGTGAGAAAGCAAGCCACCAGGATCGGGACTTGAACCGTGGTCAGCCCTGTGGGAGTGAAGCGCCTTTAACCAACACGTCACCTGCCGGGCCCTAATGTGCCTTTGTAAAGCAATGCACACTGCATTTAGTATTTATAGATCAAAACACTCATCTAACACCTTCCCGGGGGTGTGAATAGTAGGATGGCAAGTGTCAGGCCTTATCTGGACCTTAACTAGATGTGTGGATGTGCAGAAACACAAATGCGGGAGTTAGTGATGGGAACTGGGATGGAAGTAAGACTAAGGTTTTTGAAAATGTCATTAGGGGAACACAAATACACACTTGATTTGAGTGGCGCAAACTATGATGTTCATTGGTTATTTTCTTACAACTGTCTTCTTTTGATTCGAATACATAGCAGTACAACGTCAGGTAGTTTCCTATATAACGACTTTATTCCTTGCACTCAGATATGAAGAATTCAGGATTAATGAACACTGGCATCCTGTCTCTTGACCATGCAGACACCTTGGTAACTACTTTCCCTTTAGGGTGCCAGTATGGCTTGAATAGTTTTCCACATCCACTAGTGGTGAATAATGGAGAGATAAGCTTGCTTAGCCAGCTGTTTATCTCTACTACGAAACATCCAGCCGCGTATGTTCGGGGCTCAAAATTGAAGCAAAGATTGTGGATGCTACCCTGATGGTAGAAGAAAGGTTGGACTTTAAGAAAGACTTAGATCAACAAGATGCTTCAGTAGGAACTGGCAAGAAGGTTAAGCAGTAGCGTAATTTTTGGAAGGATGCCGCTTTTTAGTTCTGCTTGTGCTTTTGTGTATACATGTGTTGTGAAGAGGGCTCAACTTGTTTCTAATTTCAAAGACAAATGTATACAGGACCAAATTATATAACCTGAGACTCTTTTCTCCTCTGCATTATCCATTTGGAAGACTTATCATAAAGACCAAAGTAAAAATATTTTCAAAGCTGCAATTTGTGTGTGTATGTATATATAGATATATTTATATATATGTAGTACTTATAGATCAAAACACTCATCTATATTATATATATAGTAGATATAATATTATATATATATAATTTCAGAAAGCTAGATAATTATTCATTAAATAATTTGTAAATAAGTTGTGATTTGTTAATTAAAAAAAAAAGACTTGCCAAAGGGGTTGTGTGCTTGCCAGAGAAAGACATAGGAGGGGCAGGAGAGAGAGCAAGCAACCCCAAATGGGGCCGGGTCATGCTGCAATCCCTTCTCCTCCATTTCTTCCTCTTATTGGGATTGTGGACACGAATGTCCACAGCTTTTCAAGCTTCCAGGACTAGGATTTGAATTGCGTAGTCGGCCAGATGGGATCTACCTCCCTTAACCACCAGCCACATCATCAAATATAACTGAATTTCATAAAATATGACATTAATTTCATCAAATGTAACTGAATTTTTCATTATGATGTTTGGCTTAAAATGTAAAAAATGAATTAATAGCTAATACTAATTAGTACTAATTAATGCTTACTGTGTGTCAGGTACCATTCCATGTGCATTACATATTTACATGTTTATGTTTATTAATACTTTAATCTTCACCTAACAAATACAGGCAAGAAAAAGTAAGTACCTTTTCCTAGGTAGCACAACCAACTGTGGCCGAGTCTGCTTCTACCGACCTATTTATTATTACATTTTGTTACCAGACCACTTCCCAGTTTTCTACAGAAATAATGATTCTTTTCAAATGGTTTCAAGTTATGTTATTCACTCTATAGATTTTACCAAAATGAGGGGGTATAAGAAGGTGGATATTACTTAAAGGAAATCAAGTATAGAATAAAGAATGACCAGAAGAAAGATCGAGAAGACTTGCTTCCAACATTTTATCAAGGGTACTGGTTAGAAGCTTATGGGAGATATATTATCCCCAAATAACCATGTCTATATAATTCTAAGAATCTTCATAAAGCAATTTGGATTCATTAAACCTCAGAAAGATACCTAAAATGTCCTCTTGTCTAAATGTCTTGATATTTAAAATGACATTCTTACCAAGTGAATGTCCAACCTAGGTCTAATACTCTCTAGTGTAAGGACAGCCTGTTTTTCATTACAAATTAATAGAAAAAAAAGATATGCCATTGAAACACTAAAGACAACTAGCAGGCCTATATTAATGTCAATCAAAGATTTTAGAACAAGGAATATCACCACAAATAGTCATTTAATAATAATAAAGGGATCACTTGACCAACAGGACCCAATAGTGCTAAACGTGTATGCCCTCACAACACATGAAAAAAAGAAAAGCCCATTTCACAACAAATGTAAATGTAAAAGAAGCAAGCAGAATCTAAAGCAGCAGCATAATACTTCCGAAAACACATGAAACAAAGTCTGATGGAATAAGCAAGTATGCTCCTCTTCGGTAATTTCTAGAGCAAGTAGACACAAGATTCATAAAGATACAGATTTGTTCAAAGCCATCAACCACATTCATGTAGTTGACATAGAATGTGTCATTCAAGAGCAGAATATACATTCTTTTCATGTTCACATGAACCGTTAACCTAGATAAATTATATTTTTGTAAATAAAACAAGTCCCAACTTTAAAAAGATAGCTTATCCAGAATACGTTCTCCAATCAAAATAAAATTACATTAGAGATCAGTAACAAAAATACTTGAAAATATCTAAGTATTTAGAAATTAAACTCATTTCTAAATAGTCAATTGGGTCAAAGAATAAATCACAAGTAAAGACCAAGATTTTAAACTGAATGAAGATGAAACATATTAAACTGTGTGATGCAGTGAAAATGGTGCTTGGAAGGAAAGTTATAGCTACAAATGATGCAGTAGAGGAAAATAAAGGCTACCTGATCTTCCTGATCTTCACCTTTAGAAACTAGGGAAAGTACAAAGTAAGCCCAAAATAAGCAAAAGGAAGAAAATAATTAAAATATGAAAACAAATAAATGTAATAAAAAATCCCATAAAAATCATTAAAACAATAAACTGATTTTCAAAATTTACTAAAGTCTAGTGAGATTGAGAAAGAAAAAAAAATCATTACCAAGTTATCAGTATCAGAAATTAAATAGGGTATATTACCACAGATCCTCTGGACATTAAAAAGATAAGGAATATTATGAAGAACTTTATGCCACTACATTTGAGAACTTATAGGAAATGCACATACACAAATGTACATTTGAGAGAACATGCAAATTAGTAAAACTGATTTAAGATGAAATAGAAAATCTGTATAGTCCTATATCTAGTAATAAAATTCATTTTGTAATGTAAAACTTCATGTAGAAAAGTCCAGAACCTCTGATGAAGTATATTATATACTTAAGGATGCATTTTTTTTTAGAATTATTTTTACATTTAACTTTTTTCCTCTCTCTCTCTATTTCTCCTTTTTTCTTTCTTCTTTCTTTTTTTTCTTTCATCACAAGTAAAGACCAAGATTTTAAACTGAATGAAGATGAAACATATTAAACTGTGTGATGCAGTGAAAATGGTGCTTGGAAGGAAAGTTATAGCTACAAATGATGCAGTAGAGGAAAATAAAGGCTACCTGATCTTCCTGATCTTCACCTTTAGAAACTAGGGAAAGTACAAAGTAAGCCCAAAATAAGCAAAAGGAAGAAAATAATTAAAATATGAAAACAAATAAATGTAATAAAAAATCCCATAAAAATCATTAAAACAATAAACTGATTTTCAAAATTTACTAAAGTCTAGTGAGATTGAGAAAGAAAAAAAAATCATTACCAAGTTATCAGTATCAGAAATTAAATAGGGTATATTACCACAGATCCTCTGGACATTAAAAAGATAAGGAATATTATGAAGAACTTTATGCCACTACATTTGAGAACTTATAGGAAATGCACATACACAAATGTACATTTGAGAGAACATGCAAATTAGTAAAACTGATTTAAGATGAAATAGAAAATCTGTATAGTCCTATATCTAGTAATAAAATTCATTTTGTAATGTAAAACTTCATGTAGAAAAGTCCAGAACCTCTGATGAAGTATATTATATACTTAAGGATGCATTTTTTTTTAGAATTATTTTTACATTTAACTTTTTTCCTCTCTCTCTCTATTTCTCCTTTTTTCTTTCTTCTTTCTTTTTTTTCTTTCTTTCTCTTCTTTTTCTTTCTTTTTTTCTCTTTCTTCATTATTTGCTTTTAATTTGACCAGAGAGGGACAGAGTGAGAGAGAGGGAAAGTAAGAAAGTAAGCCACCAGGTCCAGGACTCAAACCACAGGCCAGTGAGAGTGTGAGAGTCCAATGCCCTTAACCACCAAACCACCTGCCAGCCCATAATTTTTAAAAACAATGATTTAATTTATTATTATTATTTAATTTGCTATAGGGCACTTGTGCTCACCTGAGACAGAGACAGAGAGGAAAAGATAGAGGGAAAGTGAGAAATCAAGCCACCAGGTCTGGGATTCAAACTGCTATCAGCCATTTGGGAGTCCAGAGGTTAACCACCATGCCAACCGCTGGCCCTAGAATCCATCACGATTAATGCTACCAGTTCTACACTAATTTCTTCAGAAAATAGAGCAAGGAACACTTAACACATTTTGTGAGGCCAGGATTTTCTTGATACCAAAGCCAAAGACATTAAAACTAATAATATACAGACCAATATCTTTCTAAATATAGAAGCAGAATCTTCAACAAAATATTATTAAATGAATCCAGGACTATACATGAAAAGAATAACACAGTACAATCTAATGGAATTTACCCTGGGAATGCAAGGTTAGTATAACATTTAGAAAGTAATGTAATTACCATGTTAACACATTCATGGAGAAAAAAAATACATAATTACTTCAATAAATGCAGAAGCACTGGATAAAATCAAACAAGAAATTGTACAGCAAGCAGTCTTAGAAGATAGAGTGTCTCCTGGAGCCAGGAAAGGCAAATTTATTGTCCTGTATAAAGATTGTTTTAACCCAGAGCACAGGGTAAGTATGCTTAATGCACATTAAAGAAAATTTGAGTTCCCTAAACTCAGGCTCTCTCTCTTGTAATGCATCCCTACCCACTCTACTGTGTGGCCCTATTGTTGACTATAGGAATTCGAGCTTGTAGAAAAGATGGGGAAATGCTGATACTTGGGGCGGGCCCTGAAGCCTAATGGTTAAGGAAGCTAGATCCCACTTGACAACCACAGTTCAAATCCCAGCCAAGCAGCTTGAAAAAAATGCTGGACGTGTGTGCATCTGTGCCCCAAATCCTGACAGGATAGAGAAATGGAAAAGGGATTGTGGCATGACCATTTGGTGGGCGGGTGCTTTTTTTCTCTGTCTCTCTCTTTGTCTCTTTCTGACAAGTGTATGCATCCTCTGGCAATTAAGACAAAATGCTTAGTCTGGAAACTGCTGTTGTTATGAGTAACAATTGACATTTTTCTTTTTAAATTTGCTAGAGGGTGTGTGTTCACCAGAGAGAGGGAAAATGAAAAAGCACCCACTATGGCGAGTGGGCATGCTGCAATCCTGTTTCCTCCATTTCTCCTTTCAGACTGTTGGGCATTCATGAACATGTGCACAAATCCTGGATCACGTGAGATCCAGCCACCTTCACCACCACACCACTAGCTAACCCACAACTGACTTTTTTCTAGTGTGTTCCATTAGAATCCATGAAACTGAGGCAGGCTTACCAGCTGGGTAAAGACTTTCAAAGTTCTAAAAAAAAAAAAAGAGAAAAAAGAAATATATATGTATATATACACACATACTCCACACACAATCTCCCCACCCCTGGGGGTTGGATGGTGATAGAGTTGTAAAATATAATCCTCTGCAAGGCAGACTCACATAGGAACGTTCTGAGTCCAGAGACCTCCCTTGGTTCACTCCGAACATGAGACTGGAATCTGGGCGGGCTGAAGCTGAGGTGGATCATGGCGTCAGGGGTGTTGCGCTTTCTCTTTCACTTTCTATCACACATATGTGTGTGTGTGTGTGTGTATACTTAATTCCAATTTATGTTTTGTTTGTTTTTAATTTGCTAGAGGGTGCATGTGCTCATGGGTGACAGAGAGTGAAGGGAAAGTGAGAAAGTGAGAAAACACTTGTCCCCCATGGGGGATGGCCACAGCTCAATCCCTTTTCCATTTCCCTCTTCTGGAGTTTGGGCACACATATGCATGTAGCATGTTTTATAAGCTGCTGGATCCAGGACTTGACCCGTGCACTTGGCCATGTGGGATCCAGCTACTTTAACCCCCATGCCACTGGATGGCCCACCTAATTCCAATTTCTAATTTTCAAAACTAGTCTAATCAATTACCAAGTAGTTGTAATCATATATAAGAATTTTTAATGATTTTGTGTAGAAAAGAAGTTTTCAGACAAAGGCTTTTGAAACATTTATTTAAAAAATTTATTTACATGTCTTGGATGGAAACAATTGATACAGTTTACTTGAAATTCCTAGAGAAAAAAAAGAAGAATTGTTTTAGGTGGGAATGCTAAGTACACTTTTTAATAATCATAATTTAAAGACTCTTGCTCCCTGTCAAAGTGCTTTGTGCACATATAATGTTTATGAGTAATATGAGTAAAATAAAATTAATTTTATCTAAAGAACAAAATTCCTAAATAATTCCACTATATAATAAATAGATTGAATAAAAATTTTACAAAACACAATTGTAGGCGATAGAAAGTGAGAAATCACCACCTGGGGGGGTGGGGGGCGGATGGCCATGCCACAATCCCTTCTCCTCCATTGTCCTCTCGGGATTTTGGGCATGCTCACGCACCAGGCATCCACGACTCAAACAGTGGTTGATTACATGGGAGTCCAGCCACGTAACTATTATGCCATCTGCTGGTTCTGAGAATCTTAAACACATTTCTACTAATCCGCAACACACATACCTTTCAAGTCAGGAGCCAGGGGCCTACTCCTTGGACTAGAAGCATCTTCAAGTGTAACATAGTGGTCAAAGTGAAATTTCTCTCTTCTTGAAACATAAGCTGTTTTTGACAGGTCACCGTGCTGACTACAAATTTTATCACTTAAACTTAAATATTCTCGTTGAAGATTCCGCATCTCAAATTCTAAGGTATCCCTTTCATTTTCTATACTTCTTGCGTAGTTTTCTAAAAGTATTTTGTCTTCAGTAAGTCTACTGATGCTGTTCTCAAATTTTAAATTTTCTTGAGTATGTTTCTTTAGCTCTTCTTTTAGAATCTGATTATCTGTTTTCATTTCCACGACCATTTTTGATAACATTTCACATTCCTTACTGATTTCTGACAAGCTGTTTTTATAAATATTTGCTTCTGATTTTGCATTGTTTATTTCTTTCCGATAATTTTCTTCTGCAGTAGATTGGTAGGTTTGGATATTCTCAATTTCGTTTTCTATCATTTGTCTAGCAGCAGTAGATTCTTGTAATGTTGTTTCGAGAGTAAGTTTTTCATTTTTAACTGTGTCTATTATTTGTAGAAGTGTCTCTTGTTCAGCTTTTGCCAACAATTCTTTCTCTTTCATCTGCATAATCTCTAGCTGGTTTTCTTTTAGTTCGTTTTCAAGGGAGCTTTTTTCCTTTAGAAGCTGGCATGTTTTTTTTTCTAACATTTTTTTTTCATCTTGCATCAATAGGGTGTTTGTTTTCATTGCTTCCATTTCTATATTCATTCGATTATTTTCATTATTGACAATGGCCATATCATTTTGAGTTTTGTGTTCCTTGTTTTTTAATTGATCTAATGCTTCTATTATTTGTTGCTTCTCCAAAGAAAGTTGACAATTTTTTTCCTCTAGAGTTTTATTTTGGCTTTGGAGGGCATTAAATTTATTAATTATCTTTTTCAATTCTTTAAGACATTCTTTGCCATCTTCTTCTGTCTTAATTAACTTGGACTGAATAGTACTCTTTTCTTCAACCAAATTTTTAAGCTGCTTTTCGTATGTTTCTATTTTCTGTATCAGAGATTGTGTGGTAAAGATAAGGGGTTTTATTTTAGTTTTAAGGGTTAGATTTTCATCTTCCAGTTCTGTTACTTTTTTCTGTATGTGCATAGATTCTTTTAGGTAATTCTGTAAGTACTGAATTTTGGCAACACACTGATCAGTAACAGAACTGACTTTGGATGGATTCTCATTTTCAGATATTATTGATCCATGTTTTATTACAAATGGTTGCTTTTCTCTGTCTTTCATTTCAAATTTTGTTTGGTCAAGGAATGATAGTGTATGTCTTGGAATTCTGGAATGAAATCTTAAATCTGTAATATTTTTGCCAGTGATGGGAATTTCTTTATTGTTTTTCTCAAACTTCCTTCCCCTGTGTAGTTCACTCTTAGATAATTTTCTACATTTCCTACAAAAATTCACGTGGAGTTTTGACACCGTGTCCCTGAATGGGAGTAATTTTGTTATTAATGTCTCTAATTCTGAAATTCTCTTTGATTTCATATCTTCGCTTAGGTTACTTTCTACGTTTTGTTCCTCAACAAAGTTAATTTTTTCTTTGTGAATGGGGGACAAGTCATGTTTACCATTACTCTGACTACTCATATCAGCTTTTAAGGTTTGGAGTTCGTTTGTAAGTGCCAGCTCCCTATCATGTGACTTTTGAAGCTCTTTCTTCATTTGCTTGATAGAGTGGCAAATATCATCCAAGTTTTCATAAAATCCGTGCTTTAGGAAAGGCACAGTAATTTTGGATTTACCTGGAATGGCAGAATCAGCTTGAGATGTCACAGTTGCAGGCACGGTAGGCAGAAACGTATAAAAGTTATTATAATTCTTCAACATGTCAGACTTTTCTGAAGGGTTCATGATTATGTTTGCAGTTGAAGTGTCTGCTAACGTTCTCAGAGTTAATACATCCTTGAGGTCCATCTGGGATGGAGGATTCGTACTTTGCGAGAGACTCTTGACGCTATTGCTACCCAATTTTTCTTCCACGGAATGCAGAGTCCTGGCATCCTCAAAAGGATGAGTTTTTTCCATAGAAAGAATTTCTTGTTGAGTCTCGATAGGCTAGTAACAATAAAAAGCATACTATAAATATACTATCATTGGCTATGTAACCACGAAATTAAGATTTATTTACACAACCCAAACCAGCATTTTATCTGTTTGGATCTCAGAGAAACCTAACGCAGGTGATTCATTTTTTTTCCAGAAAATCTAGCCATTGATTTGAGGAGTGTAACTCTGGTCTTCACCGTCTGCTTACAACTCACACTTATTTCCTTAGGGAGTGTAATGTACGGGTCAACCTCCCAATCTCAGAAACAGACATTTAGCATCTTCACGAGATCATCACGGGTAGATAGAGACGAGAGAAACAGCAGGTCAAATGGAAGTTAAAGCGAAATGAGTATTTCCACTCTGGGTTATTTGTCAACCTTAGCTTGTACTTCTTGGTTTTGGGTGATTTTAGGGTGGGGACTGTCCTGGGGTGTGAGTTCTTAGTAGTGGGAACACAGCAATGTAACTCTGGTTTGGAGCTGTTCTATCCATTTCACCGCCGAGCAATCCTAACTAGACAGAGAGGCTTAAAAACTGCCTTGTATTTTGATTTTACTTGGGGCTCGATTGCATCTGGACTAAGTCAAACATCCTCCATAGACTGGCCTAAAAGAAATGGGAGAATTGCAGGAGCACAGTGGTAAACACACATCTTGTAAAGTTTTCGGGACAGGAATGTCCTTATTTTCATCTTTGACATTCCATCTTTCTTACAAAGAAAGGGAGAATGTAAAGACGAAGGAAAACTGGTTGGGGTAACGTTCTGAAACACCTACACATAGAAACAATTTGTAGAATAACATACCAAATCCTTTTCAGTGTGTGTGCTGAATACAAGATTTTTTTCTGAGCTGAATTGTGGGCTTTCAACTTCAATGATACTTTTGTTCAATATTTCACTGATTTCAGATTGTACCTTTTAAAGACAAATTGAGAATGTCAGAATTTGATTTCAGATTTATAAACTTATGAATGTATAAGAATAATAGAGATTATAATTTAAATACATAACATCTTCAAATTTCCTGTAATAAAAATTCCTTTCCATCATATCGACTATAATTTATTATAATCTCTATCATTAGAGGAATCTTTAAGAACACCATGCCTTGGAGCCAGCAGGTGGTGTAGTCATTAAGATGCTAGACTCCCACATGGCTGAACATGGTTTGAATCCCGGACCTGGTGGCTTGAAAATCATGCCAGGCACATGTGCACGCATGCCTAAAATCCCAGGACAAGACTGGAGGAAAAAGAATTGCAGTGTGGCCATCCTCCCTGGGAGGTGATTTCTCATGTTCTCTCTCACCGTTTCTCTCTTTCTCTTTGGTGAATGAATGCACGTGCCCTATGGCAAAACCTTAAGAAAAAAAGAACACTATTCCTTGGGCCAGTAGCTGGTGTAGTGGTTGGGGGCTGGACTTGCACATGGCCTACCGCAGTTCAAGGCCTGGAAGCTTGCTTTCTCACTTTCCCTCTCTCTCTCTCTGGTGAATGTGCAGGTCCTGCAGCAAATTAAAAATCATGACAATAATAAATTAAATAAATAATTCTTTTAGAAAGAACATGATGCTTTGTTGTATGATTATAAAATCAAAACAACTTAATTTAGTAAAACATAACTTTTTTATAAACTGTACCAGATTATTTGTTCAAGGTTTGATTTTTTATACTGTGGAATTAAAAAGAGCTGTTTGGTCTGACATAAGAATGGAACCTCTTCTGTAACCCTCAAGCATAGCTTATCTCCCCTTCCATTTCCATGTAGTAACGTGTAGTGCAGGAACACTGGGAGGAAGCTGATATTGAGTCTTTGGAGAATATGTGCCGTGCTGTGGTCTCGAACACCCATCTCCTTGCCTTCTGTTTACACTCCTCTCTGTTTTTTCTGGATGGAGTCCATGGGCCTCTGCTGATCGTGATTTCACCTCCAGCTCCAAGGGTGGGCCTGTGACTTAGACTACGTAGGCAGAGAACTGAATCCCTCTGGACAGGCCCACAATCTTTGTATGAACTATGAAAAGAGCAAAGCTTGCTTTCTTCTGTCCGACCCGAATCTGGAAGGACAAAGGACAGATCTAGCAGAACTTTTGCCACCGGGTGAAGTCTGAGAACCAACTACTGTGGCAAGGAGATATGAGATACTTGATAGGATCCCATATCAAGATAGGAAATGCAACTTTGTCCTGAGCTCATGGGCTTAGTCATCCTAAAAGAAGCAATCTCCAGGAATTTCCATTACTTGAGCTATTAAAGTGCAATTTTCTCTTAAGCCAGTTTGAGTTAAGATTGTCTTTTAAAGGGTTCTTAGGACTCTTTCAACTTTTGTTGCAGAAACCTTTCATTTATGTTTATTTATTTATTTAATTATTTTTTTAGGTTTTTTTTTTTTTTTTTTTTTTTTTTTGTATAGGGCACATGCTCTCACTGGTGAGACAGAGACATAGAAAGCAAGAAATCATCCCCCAGTGCAGTTGGCCACACCACAGTCCTTTCTCCATTCTTCTGTCAGGCTTTTGGGCACTCATACACATGTGCCCAGCATGAGTTTCAAGCTGCTGGGTCCTGGACTCAAACCACGGTTGACTACATGGGAGTCCAGCGACGTAACCATTATGCCATCTGCTGGCCCCATGTTTGTTTATTTTTTATTGCCAGAGAACACATGTGTTTGTGAAAGAAAGAGAGAGAGATTGAGAAAGCGCTTCCTCAACAGGGTTATGATCATGCCACGATCCATCTTCCCCCATTTCTCCAGTCAGTCAGATTTTTGCGCATGTCCACACAAGGGCCTGCAGTTAGTCATGTGGGGTCCTGTTCCCTATTCACAGTGCTCTACTTCTGTGCTATGGAGCTGGTCCTGATTTTATATCAATTACAATGAAAGTTGAAGACTCTTAGAAACTATATTTGGGTAGCACTTAAACAGGCATTTAAGAAAAAATCACTGAGCATGATTTCCTTTTGACTGACACAAATACAAATATAGCAGAGAAAAATGTAGTTTCCTCAAAACAATTCTGGAGCCTAGAATATGTTGTGGTCTTTATTAAATTCTGTATCAACTAGTCTGTGGCTAGTCAACAGCTCAGAGGATGGAATGAGACCTTACAGGTGGCTGCTTCCTACCTATAGATGAAAAGAAGCATGTCATGCTAGGGTCAGCAGGTAGCATGGTGGTTAAGGCACTGGATCCCACATGGCTGTGGTTCAAGTCCTGGACCTGTTGGCTTGAAAAGCATGCTGAGCACAAGTGCGTGTGTGTCCAAAATCCTAAAAGGAGAATGGAGGAGAAGGGATTGCAGCATGGCATTCTCCCTGTAGGGTGATTTCTCTCATTCTTGCTGGTGAGTGCGCATACCCTATGGAAAAAAAAAAAAAAAAAAAAAAAGGGGAACAACAGCTTGGTGTAATGGCTATTACGCT